ATTGCACCTCCGGTGAAGACTGAAGGAAACAGACAGTTTTGCTTGTGTTGTTGGTGAGCCCGAATTTGGCCGCCGTCGAAGCCAGAACAATAGTCATGTGCTGCAACTAATCCGCGTTTTGGGCAAACAACGCATATTCCTCATCTAACAATAAGCTACGGATAGTTGTCTCACAGACCAAAGTTCCCAACAGAAACGACGGGATGTTAAGCAACCCACCATCAGTACGGTGCCCCACAAAAACACCGTAAGCACAAGCCCCAACAAAGTACAAGACATCAATACATGAAACTAAATTATTGCACAGGGCAGAAGCTAGGACACCGCCTTGCTTCACACCAGAAGCAAATGCAAATTCATCGGAGGTCTCCACTCATATGCACCCTCGTCTGCATACCGCTGTGCAAACATTCAGTTAAACTTACAAACTTATGCAGGCAAGACAAACTTACTCAACACCAGCCACAATGCCCCGCTTTTCATCGTATCAACTGCCTTGGTGAAATCAACAAAATGCGAGCCCAAATGCTGATGTCGTTCTCTGCACTTCCCCTTCAACTGATGTACCGCAAACATCATATCTATAGTGTTGTGACCCGAACCGAATTCACACCGCTCTTCCGCCACGTTAGATTCCAAAATCTGACTGACGAGGTGATTGAGCAGGATTCGGTAATCACCTTGCCCACACAACTCAGCAAATTGATGACACGATAATTGGTGCAACATTGATTGCTCAATTTGCCCTTGTGCAGTGGTAGCACAAGGCATCCTTCAGATCTAGAGACACTTCCTCCTCAATCCATACGCATTGGACCAAGTGGTGCAGCGCAGTCACCAACGAAGGTCCGCCGTGTTTCAATACTTCAGGCGGGATCCCGTCGGTACGGGCACAATTGCGCTTTCGTAGCTGAGCATGTGCTCTCTGTGTTTCGCAAAGTGTCTGCGAGTCCACCAGACTGGCCTTCACATCGTTCTGCTTCAGGCCGTTCAATGTAGGCCAGACGATCTCTGAACGGTTGTTCAAGAGACAGTCAAAATACATTTGCCAGATCTGCATTGTGTTTGTAGTCTGTGAGCAGGTAGCTCCTGAACTACCAACGGTCAGCGTCCTCAACGGCTTCAACATCTGTCCATACACCGCTATCAAGGAGTCAAAGAATTCCTTGTGTTAACTGAGTTCGGCGCAACGTCCCATCTGCTTCGCCTTCTCCATCCACCATGCACTTTTGTGCAACGGAACTTTAGGGTCAGTCGCCGTCGATATTTAAGAAAACTTCCCTTTTTCCCTCAGTTACTGGGGTCTGCCAAATGTGTAGCAAATGTTGCATTCTTCTCCAACGCCAATACGCCAATCGTCGCATTGTTTTCATCAAACCAGTCAGGCCGCTTACGGTATGCGCGCCCGATGGTCTCTTTGGCAGCAGTTGTCCCCTGGTTGCGCATGTGGTGCCGCAGGTCGCCCACTGTGGCTATGCAGTCAACATCACACAGGCGTGTAGCCATCGCCTTCCCCAGCTCAATACGTTTCACCACAGTACCGAGAGAGACAGAGAATGTTACATTTGCGCCAATTCCTGACGGAGTGCTATACATAGATCTACGAAAATCTATGTACAGTTTGTTCCGTACTCATTTGGGATCAGTGCTACACTCAGTTCCACGCAGTACACGTGTCATGCGCACTTTGCGCATGTCATGCTGAGGTACGATGATATAATCGAGCAGGTGAGCGTGGCCACTCGTGAGTGCGTCCCAGTTGTTATATCAATCACACTCCGTGCAAACTGAGTGTTCGTGATCGTCAGACCACGAGTAGCACACAGTGAGAGCAGCCTGTCACCATTCGTATTCGCATTCGCTGAAGCAATGCCACGTGAACGGAGGACATCTATCCAGACCGATGCATCACGATCAACGCGCAAGTTGAAATCATCCAGCGGAAATAGTCGGTCGCTCCTAGACACAGACCGCATCACTTAGGGTAGCCGAGTGTAGAATTGATCACGCATGTCATCAGGATAACACATGGTCGGACCGTAGGTGCTTCTAAAGGTGACAAACTTTCCCCTTCCAAGTTGTAGGCGAACATTTATCAGTCGTGCTGATGCCTGTTTGATTCACCCATGAGCTGGCCACGGAGACGATCATTTATTGCAAATCGGACCGAATCTTCACGTGGTGCTGAGGCCAACCCAGTAGAATGTATAGCCAGTACCTGCTTCATGCAACTTACCTTGCTCAGCGAGCCGGGTTTCTCTGCGCGCCGCAATATCGATGTGATAGTGCGTCTGTTCCATCGCGACCAGTGCAGTGCGTTGCTCGTGGCACTTACTTGAATTTCGGTCCAGGAGTGTGCGCACGTTCGATCACCCGATGCTGAGTGTTCTGCACGCAAACATATGATTGCAATGGTGACCAATGGCACGCGAGGTGGCGGATGTGTCTTGGAGGTTTTCGTGAGGGACTCCACCCGGAGCCTTTGGCTCAATGCCTGACCCACAAGGCATTTATGGATCAACATATATGAAAATCCTTTTATATCCTTGCACATTTCTTGATAAGTTGTCGTATTTTACTATGATCATATCTTTAATGGCGTTCCTTGCGCAGCCGAGGTTAAAGTTGTTTAATTACTTATTTATAAGTGTTAGTTTTAATGTGCAGTTAACCTCCATTCTTAAAATGACGTCTACTGGACATTGTAGTGTGCATCCAAGTAAAACATAAGACCTACATACAAACGTCTGCTACAAATCTGGGGTATTAATAGACAACAGTGGGTACGAAAGACCCATATGTTTTTCGCCAATTTTCGATTGTTTGCGGTTGGTGCTGTAGCGCACGGCTACCCTTAGAAGAAGAAAATTACCTGTAAGTTGACGTAACTAGACCAGGTTTCGTAAATACTGGTGTCGCAAATTTATGCGGAAATCTTTTTCGTGGGTCATTTGTTGGTGGCCAGTTAGAAAGTATTATTGTGACTGGTAAAGGTGAAAGATGCTGGCCGCACTTGCAGCAGCAGGCGCGTACATCGCAGTCCATCCAATAGGATGTACGGATTTGGATGGTACGTGGGCAGACAGACACATGGAAGGTGAACCACGTGTGTCCCCGCCACGGAACGCTCGGTAAGCCCACATTGGTATGCGTAATCACACGTGAAACAAGACTGATTGTGTTTCCTCCCGTCTTTACTGACTGTGCTTGCTGTCATCAGTCATGTTGGATTACCGCATGAATGCATTTGGTGAAGTATGATATTACCCTCTGGGTATACGACTACGTCTTTACACTGAGCCCTCTGGGTAGCAGCTTGTAAATTTCTCTTGTTATCTGGAATTTCGGCGATTCAGTTTACCCACATAGTATGGTGCTTTCTGGGTTTTCTTGTGAATACCTCGGGAAGGTTCACACCAACCCAGAGCGCTTGATTTGGATATTGGCTCTACCTTCTTCTAATCCCCGTCTATTGAGCTGAATAAATCGACTCCCACCCGCCAACCACCCAAAAGAGAAGGCGATGGACGCTGGTAATGCACTCAAAATCAGTCGCTTGTTCAAAGTGCGATATGGCGGTGAAGGAGTGGATTTTGTGGATCAGTTGAATTATCAGTTCACAAGTGGAATGATTGTCTTATTCATAGTGTTGATTGGTTTTCGGCAGTATGTGGGTGAGTTACTCCGGAATCGTTCAAATAAGTACCAATATGGACAGTTAACAACTGTTGGATCCCCTTTAGCTATAGTCTGAGGAACATTGCTGCCAAACATGTGTTACTGCCTCATAAACCGAAGTTGTTACCCCACGGTAGATAAAGGAATTGGTTGCCTTAAACTGGTTTAAAGTTGGCAGAACAAGATGTATGAATCATTAGTTGGTCGAATGTATCCGACATCGCTGGTTTTGATATATCTAAAGTTTCCTACAAATAGTTCTATTGCAGAATTCACAGGTACTTTTTACCAGTAGTAAAGAGCAAATCCACAGCAATAACGGAGCACTTCGTTTTAATTATTAGTAAATATCAAATATTAGTGATGGACATAACAGCAACAATCAGAGGCATCCGGATAGAATCAAAATTAAAGCAAAGTTAACACTACTTAGACTGGTTTTCGTTCAGGACGAGATCGGTCACTATTGCTTTTGTGAAGAAGGGCAAAAATATCAAGTGTCAAGTTACTAAACTAATATTTGCTTAGGAATATGACAACAACGTCTGATAGTTGAACTATTCTAATACGAGTAGCTGCGCTTCGACAGCAAAGTATGCGTGTGTCAAAAGACGGTTTGCCCCAACGAGATAAGGCCTAAAATAACAAGCTTATTATACTAGGAACTAACTTCATTTAGCTTGATGCTGAGGGTCATTTTGAGGTACACGTTGTGTGGATGGATTGCGATACGCAATCTGAAAGTTGACCGCGATTACCATTGAAGTGATCACGAGGACAGTAGCTGAAGTAGATAGAAATGGGGTGTTACCCGCACAAAAACACTGCAATCCTATGACGCGTTTCGAGGTAAATCCCCCACATTAGATAGAGATAGCACGCATCGAACCCGGGACCATTGGGATGTTAGTTGTGACCGCTACGTAAATGAGTCAGCAACCGTAAATATATTGAAAAATTGTTTGGTTAGCGTTTTCTTTGGTTACCAGCGTCTAGTCATGTAATAGTCAATCCAGTGACAAACAGTGACGGCCTCACCAACAGCCAATTGTAATATGTATGCTGAACGTGACCGATTTGTTTGGTGCTTAAATAGGTAAAGTAGCACTATAGAATTCGTGTGACTTTATTGCTTGCTGGATAAGTGTGCTTGTGAATATTCGAACACATGTTCGACTGAACAGCAACCACTGGTACTCATTGATGCTTTTAATGATGACATCTGCGACATGCTTGCCAGAGTTAACTGACCCAAAACAGAACCTGTGCCATCATGGAACACTTCTATTACGGACACCGCGTACTTGTTCGTTTTTGCAGATCATATTTTTATGGTCTACAACCGCTTTCTTTGAGTTGTGTAGATTTCACTGGGTAGTTTGTGTAAACCGATTTCTTGTTGATCCCTATTTCCTGCACTGGGAAAAGCTGGAAACATTCACTCGCGACAGAACTGCCCAGAAAATCTGTGCTCCCGCTGGTATATGCAGAAGCATTTTGATTGTAGTGTTTATAGGGACAATGAAGTTGATTGTCATGGACGTGTAATCCACTAAGATAAATTCAGCTAACGAGACGTTTATATGTGTCAAAAAACCGGCGGGTTTATTTAAAACGGTCCGAACTCAAGGCTTCAACCTAAAGAGCCCTACATTTTGCACAAGGCTTCCTGACCATTACACGGTATCCACTTTGCTCAACTGATGAGGCTTGTGCGGTGCCAATTAGAAGACAAGATTGCAGGTACCTAACAGTCCTCACCTAAAATGTGGACATCGGTTTTATCTAAGCGCGATGTTTTTAGATGTTCTCTTTATGATCTATTGGACTGCTCCTAATGATGGACATACGGATGATAAAAGTTGGTCTGTAGCTATCCTTACTGACTGCTCTTGCAGTTGCGTTGTCAGTATGTTATCAATTGCAAGTAACTTCATTAGTTCACTGTATCTGGGTTAACATAACAGAAAATGCCAACTGGAAGTTATCGCAACCAAAGTACTTGCCGTTTAAGCGAAAAGTACAACTTGTACGTAACCCTAACTAAATCCCGGGATACTTTATGACTATGGTGATGTAAAACGTTGGGAATTAATATTAGACATTTAAATTTTTAATCCGTCATTGTGTGAAATTATTGTTAAACAATTTATATTCCTCCCATATGGTTAAAACACCAGGATACAAACTCAGATTTCACAAGTTACTTTACGCGATTATTAGTTTAAAGTGAATCGAAATGCTCAAGGAGTACATTTCATTCCAATATAAGCACACCTGTAGTATCTTCATGATTTCAGCTATTTGAAGAGGTGAATCCACATGTTTGCAACCTTAAATGCAACGCGACAAACCAGCAATTATTTGGCCACTTTGATACCAAACTCATCATCAACATTGGCCAGCAACATACCATCGTAACCATACCGACCATTATAATAGGGCAATATTATAAATTTATTGACTGGTTGTATTTTCTCGAGAAAGCTGAGGTAATAATTAAGGAGTAGAGACATTTCCATATGTGGTAATAATAAATAATATAAAACGTGGTTTCACTAATCACGTTTAGTAAAGTAACGCACTAGAAGAACATCTGTAGATAGTTTTCTCTTCAAATAACCCTCAGCAACTTATGAGAGGCTGAAATTTGACTACGCTACTTACATGTTAGATTAACGACTACAATGCGTAGTGCAACGTTTACGGATATTTCACGAACTGGTCTAGGAGCAATCCATTCGGATTACAGTGTAAATGTTCTGCTGACACCATTTACAGAAACTTGCATAACAAATGACAGAATGGGTAATCTGTTAAATTTTTCATACATTCAGATCAGAGCGTTTCGCAACTAGCACTCATGAACGTGCCAACACGGAACTCGTTCCATTGAACAGAATAGCGGGGCTATACTTATATGCGCTCGGAAAGTAGTGAAATAAGTGTTCTTGTTTAAGCTTGTGATTCTGCGCAAACCAGCTTTTATTTCTTCGGGCAAGGTCCTTGCTGGGCTATACGGTGTAATTGCACGAGCTCAGGCACCGTTACTTCCAGCAGCTACCTTCAATAGAAATTCCACGCACGTTGGTACCATTAACAAGGTTAAAATATCAACGTTTGTTGAAAAATTAGACTCAGGTTAGTTCTTTACCTAAACGCATTCAACCACTAGCGCAGTGACATTTAAAAGTTGTATTGTATGTGACTTGAATAGGTAGCAAAATATTTGGCTAACCTGAAGCTTTACGGGTCACTAGTTTGTTGGCCACAAACAGTGAGCTGAGGTTAGTATACGTCAACTGATAGGAAATGCACCTTTTTCTCCCTTCTGCTTGGTTAAACACATTGGCACAACATTAATCTTGCAAGTAAATTTTAATAAATGCACTAACTATATAGCACCATGTGCAGTGTATTACTTAGACACAACGTGAGGGAATACAAAACAGATTCTTATGTTCTGCTGCAGTCAGACTAAAAGGAGTTTCCTAATCCAGCTGCGGATAAGCGAGGTGATTTTATGTCGAAAACATGATGAGCTGGATACTGCTGGCGTTGCGTTTTTAATACTAAAATAAACTAGAAGTTTGCACTTGGAAAAATGGAAAAGGTGCTTGTTAGTTTCCCACTACTGCTAGATATTTTCCTGAGGTTCGTCAATAGAGAAGAAAGTCAAGGTGGAGTGGCCGCATAGAAGTTCCCTGAAACATCATTGAAAGTGCGAGTCTATACTAATCTGATCAGTCTTGAAGAGTTGTTGTTAGTTTAAATTGTCTACCGTTCTTATTAAACCAAATCACCAGCCGCAATGTTTACGTCTTTCTTTGCTTTAGATGCATATATCGCAGAACTGCAACTTGTTAAAGAAAATAGGATTTAACAGATACTTAATTAGTGGACCAGCGTTCTTCCGCCTCTTCTTTGAGTTCATTCTCGCTAAGGGATCTTTCAGTGCAAAGTAACAGCTGTCTGCTGAAATCCACAGTAGCCTTGAGCAATACAGTACATATACCGAAGGGTATTGAAAAAGTGAACGAGTCTTACGACAGTCATGGTCAAAACAATGTAAAGCTGTCTAAATGAAATACTTCAATTGTTGCATATTGCACAGAAATGCCGGCGTTTATTTCTAAATAATAAAGCACTTAAATTGTGCTGTCTTTCTCAACTTATCAAAGTAATTGTCATACACTTACGATATGCCCAATATGTGGGAGTTTGAATACTTGATTGGTTCTTTGAGCTGCGCTACTTGATTGTAGACGTTTCATCACCATGCGAGACGTCTTTTATAGTGCGTTTTAGCAAGCAGCTTGATAGTAAGTATTGAGCTTTGAGCAAATTTAGAGGTAGGTGCCGTAGGCTACGGTCTGTTCATGATATACATATCAAACATAAATAGTCATGCTTCATCCGGATTGGTTTCCCCTTTGGGCACGCATGATCTTGCTCTACTGGGTGGTGTGAAGCTTGCTGCGACTTTGGGTTTGTTTGTTGCAATTACCTTGGTGCAACGGCCATTTTGCTTAGAGAACATGCTTACAACGGCTGTTCTGTTCGTTGTTCACTCGCTGGTCTGTGTCAAGACTTTGATATGGACTACTTAGCGTGCTTTAATACGAATGTTATCTACAAATAATAATCAGATCCCTTCTTTTGGGCTTTGTGCTTTGCTGCGGCCAAAAAGTGCGCTGAAGGATTGAAATAGGATCTCAGAGTCATACTTTTGCTGACACCTTGATTTATGGAAGATCGATAAATACCTTCACAGCCGTACTTCCAAGGAGGGAAATAATAACACGACCTTTGTTGTTTCTTCCTTTTAGTTACTAGAAGAAACTTGCTTAAGTTCCTTAGTGTTGCAATATTGGCGGAAGTTACGGACAGCAGGACTCGTTGCAAGCAAGTGGTGGTTGGCTCACTGGATCATAATACATTTACAGCAGATGATCTATCTAGAGTGCTTACGCAGCTTGTAGGCCTGATTACCTAT